GGGACCGGCCTTGCCACCAGTAGTCGCCGAGTCTACTGGGGGCTGCTGCTGTTTCCCTGGTTCTGTACCCAGGTGCACGGGCGTGTACACTTGTTGGCCTGCGTGCCGAATATGCGGTGATAGTAACAGACTGAGGATGGGGCCGAGCGTTCAGTGCCCGAATATGTTGGCGCTGTGTTGCGGGGCAGTTGACGTCTTGCAGGTTCGTCGTTGGGAATTATTTGATTTAGTTTCTTGGCCAAATTTCCTAGCTGCTTGGATAAATCGTCGAGCTCTCTCTGCATCGAGCTATCGGAAGTGTTAACGATTGGCATCAGGAATCTGTTCTCAGAGTCTCGTTGGATCTCAACAATCTTATTGGCTAGCACGGCGAGTTTGTCATTGTCTAGTTTGCCCGAGGTTGTTAGTGCTACTTGCACATATTGCGGTAGACGATCGAACCAAATGGTTCGAGCGAATGTTGCGTCGAGCTGACTACCGCCCAGTCGTTTGATTTCGGCGAGGAGCTCAGACGGGCGTCGATCGCCTAACTCTACACCCGAAAGCAGTTTTTTTAGACGACGTTCCTGCGAAATGGAGAAGTGGTTTACCAGGACTTCTTTAATTGTGAGATACTTATCGGTTTCAGGTGGATTAAGGATGACATGTTCCACGACGATAAGCGTTTCTTGGTAGACACGCGCAACTACTGCTTGGTATTTAGTTAAGTCGGAAGTTAATCTTCGTAGTTGAAACTGCGCCTCTATTGCTGCAAACCATAGTTGTACTTGTTTGCTCCAGAATGGTGGCAGTTCCAATTTTTCGAATCTGTCAACGTGTGCGACCGCTTGGTGCTGTGGTGGAGCGACTGCCTCGAAAAATTCATCATTTGCAGCCTCGTTGGATGTGCTAGGGAGGCCGGCACTAACATCGGCAGAGTCTGATCGTATTGCTTGCATCTTGCCAAAGTTGAGTGGCAAGATCGTATTTTAGTGTTCAATAACTTGTAGGGGTCACCAGTTAATATGTAGCGACTAGCTGGGTTACCACATATTTATTTCTTTGTTTAATTAATAATCTTAACACTTGAATGGAACAATTAGAACTAACTGAATTGCTTAAAACGATTCTTTTCGGTTTTCGCTGTTGGAATTCTAGA